CCACCCTCAGCACTGGGGATCCCGGTCCCGCGGCGCGGGCAGCGCCGGTCCCGTGGCGCCGTGCAGACCCGCGTGCCACGGCGCCGGGGATCCGCGCTGTGTGGTGCCATGGACCCCGATCCCACAGGACCGGGAGCCCCGGTCCCGCGCCGTCGGCGATCCCGCTCCCGCCGCTCTGGAGACCCCACCCCGCGGCGCCGGGCCCCCCGTCCCGCCTGGCGGGGGCCCTGCGGCGCTGACCGTCCTCGTCCTGTCCCCAGATGATCTTCCCCCTGCGCTGGCAGTGCCCCTACATCCCGCTGTGCCCGCTGGCGCTGGCTGACGTGCTGTGTGCCCCCGTGCCCTTCATTGTAGGCATCCACTCCAGCTACTTCGACCTCTACGAGCCCCCCCGCGACGTCATCTTCGTCGACCTGGACACCAACACCATTTTCCAGTGAGCGTCCGCAGGGCCGGGGGCGGGTGGGCCGTGCCGGGGGGTCCCGGGGGGTGCCAGGGGGTCCCGCCCTGCCCCGGTGCCTGTGCCCCCAGGAGCGAGGAGCGGAAGCTGCTGTCGCCGCGCGCGCTGCCCCGCCGGCCCTGCAAGGTGCTGCTGGCCTCGCTGCACAGCCTGTCCCAGCAGCTGGATGAGCGTGAGTGGGGGTCCCGGGGGCGTGCTGGAGGCTCCGGGGCGTCCCGGGGGGGTTCCACGTCCCCAAACTGGGAGTGACCCGGCGGGTCAAAGCCCACGCCGGAACGCCCCCCTCGCCTGGGAGCGTTTCCCAAGCGGGGTGAGAGCCGTCCCGCCGTGTCCCCGCAGTGCTGAGCGCGCCGGGCGACGAGGAGCCGCCGGAGCTGGTGCTGAGCGACGCGGAGGCGGCGGGCGCGCGCCGGGCGCAGCTGGAGCTGGAGGCGCGGGCGGCCTTCCTGCGCTTCATGGCCTGCGCCCTGCGCGGCTACCGCTCCTTCCTGCGCCCCATCGCGCCCGCGCCCGCCCCGGCCGGCCGCGACGCCGGCAGCCTCTTCGCCCTGCAGGGTGCGTGGGCAAACGGGCGGGCGCGGGGGGCGAGCCCGGGGTGTGTCCCTGTGAGGTCTGTCCTGGCCCGTTCCTCTGGTTGTATCTCGTCTTTGTGC